CCACACCAGTGCTGCTCCAAGCCAGGAATCCTCTGACACAAGCCACACAACCCTCACCCCCCAGCCCCCCGGGGCCTCCCTTACATCTTTCTTCACTGCCTTCTCCTCTCCCTCCAGGCTGGCTGGGATGGCAGTGGGGCCTTTCTCCCCCTCCTCAGGCACCTCAACTTTAGCCTTGGCTTCTCCACCTTCACTCATCTTGAAGAAAGAGGCCCCATCATTGTCCTGGAATCCCTCAGCCATGCTGTTAGAGCTCAGCCACGAGGCCACTTTGTTCTTGGGGGTCTCCTCAGAGAGCGGGGGGTCACAGGAGGTGCCCAGGGCATTCTCCTGGTGGCTGAGCTGCCTGGTGAGCCCTGAGTCCTTGGAGGCTGCCTCAGACACCCCGTTCTCCTTCTGGCCCCGGGTCTGGCGGCGCGTGGCGTAGCTGCGCCACACGAAGCTGGTGCTGAAGTCCTCATCCTTGCAGAAGTTGTCATCAGAGCTGTCCTCGTTGGAGGATTCCTGCTCCTCTGTGCCCGTGTTCTCCTCCTCTCCCTTGAGGTCCACCCCACTGCTGTCTGAGGAGGACTTGGCGTCGCTCTCGTAGCCCTCCTTGGCGTTCTCCACGCTCTCGATGTGATCCAGGTTGGCAAAATACTCATCCCCCATCTCCAAACCTTCCTTGTCAGCAAAATCATCCGTCAGGATCTTCCCTGGGGTGGGAAACAGAAAAACAAAGGGGAGTTTTCCCTCTCCTGAATTTTTTATCCCATCATTTTCAGCCTCTCCAAAAGGTTTGTTGAGGAGCGGAGGGGATTGACTCCGAAGCTGGGCTGGGAAAGGACAAGGTGTTCCCCCAATATTCCAGGGATTGAAGCATGAGGCTGATGGAAATTGGGCCCTTGCTGATTTCCACCACAAAAAACCTTCCCAAGAGCAGCTCAGCTTGCTGCTCCTGTGAAGGGCTGAGGGTGAGGAGGGAGAGCAGAGAGCAGTTCCCCCAATATTCCAGGGATGAAAGCATGAGGCTGATGGAAATTGGGCCCTTGCTGATTTCCACCACAAAAAACCTTCCCAAGAGCAGCTCAGCTTGCTGCTCCTGTGAAGGGCTGAGGGTGAGGAGGGAGAGGAGAGAGGAGAAACCAGAGCAGCAGAACTCAGGCTGGTGTTGGCTCAGAGCTAATGCAACCCCACTGAGCAACTTCTGCATTTCACTGCTGTGTGCCCGTGGCCCAGCAGCTCATTTGGTGTCAACAGGAAAGGGGAGTGTGTGGATCCACCCACAGTGTGAGGAGATGGTGCTGGGGACCCCCACACTGCCCTGAACACCAGCACAGGGAGGGGTCTGGGCTCAGAGCTGGGCACTGATCACCCCCCAGTGAGGAAATCCACGGGCTGCAAGCTCCCTGGCTGTGTTGTTTTTGTTCTCCTGCCACCTTCACGAGCCCTTGAAGAGCTCTGGGCTGAGTTTTGCCATAAACAAAGCTGAGCTCTCCACCCTGACACAACCAGCTCTTTGCAAATCACCTCCCCACCTCCTCCCCTCCTAAAACAAAACACCCAGATTCACATCTGAACCCACGAGGCCTCTGGCTCAGCTCCTCCTCCAGGGCTGGGAGGCCTCTCCCTGGCCAGGGTGAGATCCTACCTGCATAGATGCAGACAAAAGAGCCTTTGGCAATGTCATCCAGGCAGCGGATGCCCCAGCCCTTGTTCTGGGTCTTGAAGAGCTGCAGCCTGACCTGGAGCCCGTGCTGGACCAGGCGGTTGGTGCACATGTTGATGTTGCACTTGCACCTCTTGTTGCACTCATAAACTCTGAAAGAAAAGAGAAGGGGTGACACTTTTCCTGGGGGAAGTGACAGCCCGAGGCCTGGGGTGGTGCTGCAAAGGGAGCCACGAGCTGAGGGATCCTCCACAGAGGCAGGTTTCCAGTATCTCCACTTAGATTTGGGAAATGCTGCCTCTGAGGGTATCACAGGCCACGTTCCTAAGGGTTGGGGAGGAGGAAATGAGGAGCTGGAGCTGGGCTTACCCTGTTGGGAGGCATTCCTCCAGCCTCTTGTGCTGGTAGCCAGAGTTGGGGTTGATTTGCCCCCCTGGGGTGCAGCCAGTCGCTTGGACTGTCAGCTGGTGACAGGCACACTTGGATCTGGAGAGACACAGAACAACCCACCCGTGCCCCAGGAGTGAGTTTTAGGTGGTGGATTTTGCAGAAAGGAAAAGAAATGACATGGTGATAAGTGTGTGTAGGCAGAGATGGGCACACGGGGCTGGAGTGGTTCAGGTTTGGGCCCCTCCCTCTCAGAAGGAGCTTGAGGAGCTGGAGCGTGGGCAGAGAAGGGCAACGGAGCTGCTGGGGAAGGGTCTAGAGGGCAAGTGTGGGGAGGAGCAGCTGAGGGAGCTGGGGGTGCTGAGCCTGGAGCAAAGGAGGCTCAGGGGAGACCTTCTGGCTCTGACACCTCCTGACA